CAGTGGGGTGATGGTAGTTTGAAGTCAGAAGTCAACTCTCGGTTAACAGACTTTTTTGCCGTATGAGTATACATTGCCAGGGTGCACCACGTGGAGGTAAGTCTATCACACCCCAAGATACCCTAGATAGTTTGGCATTGTGGTTCTCGTTTGCAGGTTCTGTCTCACTTACTACATTAATAAATAAGCTTAATGTATTAATATTTTGTTTGTTGGTTTAGACATAAATATGAAGAGCATGCGGAGTCCGGATCGAGGGCACCCATTTGTGATATCCAGCGGCCACATAATAAAAGCTTTCAAGTTAGTGCTATTTTATATTGGCTACTTTTAAATAGTAAGTAGTTAATGTGTGTGATTACTAACTCCCGCATTTTCGCAATTTATTGGTAGGCCCCAGCCAGTGCCTTATTGCCCGCAAAACCTCACAGGAAGATAAAGAAGTCGAAAGTTGAAAAGCCAGTTGCCGCTACTCAATCGGCCTCACAGTCTCATACAGGAGAGGTTAGTTATTTAAGTTAATTGCATGCCTGTTTATCTGTTTGTCACTTGCTGAAATGTGCGCTCGCTAACTGAAGTGCCTTTAGGCAACTTTGTTAACTTTGATTTAAAATGTTTTTTTATACATATGGAAACTTGATTAATTTTATCACTTTAACAAGGACTTGGAAATGGAGTTGGCTAATTTTGGAGTCCAGTTGGCATGATTTTGTAAAATTGTATTTACTTAATATCTCAAAATGGATGAAGTCACCCTTGTCGGTAGTAGGCGTAACCGATAATTCTAGTGTAAAGAAGATTTATTTACCTTTTCCATTTCGCACGGCTTACCTTTACTTTAGAAGAACGCTTATTGCTCAAAGCAGAATTTATCGCATTCCTTACCACTCGTAAAATTAAAAATCTTAGGAGAGTTTTCAGTATCGATGGCTCATCGTTTTGTTCAAAATCCAGTCATTTCTTCACCTACTCCTTTTTCTATACCACGAGCCTTTAATTATTCCTAATAGATTTCCTAATGGAATCATTTTAATTGATGGACTAAAGTCCACCCTGAGTGAACTTTGCTATCCTAAAATCGTGTAAAATCAATTTGCTTTTGCGGCCTTTGAAGGATGAAATAAATTGAAGTGGCAACACCGATCACCATACTTAAACAATCTTGGAACAATTTATGAATTTTGGGTCAAGTATCAATGAATTGCTCAATAAGGGCATATTCTACGATTCGAATTCGAAATGAATTGAAGTGGCTCTTTTAACACATTCCCTTTTCTGCCCCATCGCCTTCGATATTTTTTTGAACCAATTACAATTGTTTTTCCACTGTTAAAATAGAAGAATGGGAATGAATAGTACATTCTGTGCTTAAATAATCACTATCATTCCAGACACTAGCTGGTTCCCTTTCATCCTTGATTTGAGATTGGAGAGTTGTTTGAGCTCGTTCGAACCTTTGAATGCAAAATTGAATTGAATGACTATTTCCTTCATGAACGCAAGTCTGCAATTTTGTTATAAGGTAATTTTAAAATTTGGCTGGTAAACTCATTGTTTTCTTTACCACCAAGAAAAGGAAATTTTCAGCAAGATTCAATTTCATTACTTCCTTATCACAGATCATTCTACGCAAAAAACTTTGATGTCTTAAAGTACTCTCAAACATTACCATTTGCTTGAGTTGTAGAATTTTAAAGTTCATTAGGTTTTTGATTAGAGAGATTTAAAACTACAAACCCAAATTTGTCCTTTTATTTGCTCTCTTTACACGCACACACACACACCTCCCCACTAAAATCCCGTTGCTGTGGGTGTTGGCTTTTTATTAAAAATCTTATTCTTTTCCTTCAATTTTGCTGCAAAGTTTAAATTTGCTAATTGCTTTTTAGCCTCTTTCATGAAATTTGCAATCCGACGAAAAACAGTCGTGGGTTTTTCTTTTGCTTCAAGTTTAACCAGTGTGTTTGTTGGTGATTTGAGCGCTGAAAGCTAGTCGACTGCAACGGTCAGTTTTTGTTTTTTTGTTTAAATTAGAAAATATAGAAGTTTGGTTAGGTAGCATAAAATGTCTTCAATACTCTGAGTAGAATTCATAAACTTTTTATGAACAGAAACCATCCTTCTGGAAATGGCTCGTTCGATTAGTATTCGTCCTTCCTCACGTCTGAGATTATGGTCTATTTACTCCTGAGTATCTCGATGGCTGAATTTCGTTATATTGAAGTTTTAAAGTTGTTTTAAAGAGAACTTATTGTTTAGTTTATAATTCACGTCGCCTCTCGTAATTGCTTAAATAAACTCTCTTTATTTTGGGCCGATGGCTCGTTAGTCGCCTTGCACGTTTTTTTTCATCATACGACGAGTTCAATTCCAATCAGAGCGAGCGCGTCGAGGGTGGCTGGATTTGAGTCTCGCCATGACGCCTCCAAGGTGATTGTTAAAGAATCATTCTCTTTTATTACCTGCAAGCCTCTTTAGGAGTCCTATGTTCAACCTTGCTGAATTATCTAGAATGATTTGGATAGGGTATTTCTTGTTATAGTATTCTGTTTTATTCCAAAATGTCAGAAGTAAATGTTAGCACTTACCTGGATTTGGTGGTAATTGATTCTTATAATGAATTCCAAATCATTAACTTGTTCGTTCCTAATTGGAGCGTCCGACCCCTTCACTCATATCTTCCTTTATAATTAGTTCATTCCAAATGCCAATGTTTAAACCCCTAACTTGACCTCAGAATATGTTCCTATATACCCATCGTGTCCTCAGAGTCCTTAAAATACATACTTCATTCTAAGAATTGCATACTTATACCTAGAAGTCCTGAGTGTGTCTACCTTTCCTTCTCCACTTCGTAGTTTTTTCTCAATTAATTCAATCCTCTCCTCTCCTTTTCGTCCTTTAATAGGCCTAACCCTTCTTATATTTTAATAGGCCATCGAACAAAATTTTTGTTGATTCTTAGAATGTCTTGTAACTCACCAGCTCAGGCAACTAAAGCGCTAGTGATTGGAGACGTCTATTCAGGCAGTGCACAAAGAGAACTGTGCTTTGAGGGTGGGGAGGGCGGAGTTGAGGGTGGGGAGGGCGGAGTTGAGGGTGGGGGGTGGAGGATGTTATTTTACGTAGCTTTAACGTAAAGCTAGTAAACAAAGTGGGGTTTCTAGGTCCTACTCTGTGTCCTAAAAGCGAGTTTCAACTTACCTGTTGATTCAGTCCATTTGTTATCTGAGTCTGATATTGTTTTCATTTTTTTGTCATGCTATTTATAAGCTGAAGATATGCAAATATACTTGTTTTTATGGTTCAAGTCATCTTGTTTTTTCTAATTTGTGTCTTGAATTTAATCCGATAGAAATTCATTTTTTGTATCAATTTGCTTCAATCATACTACCAAGTTGTTGTGCCGCTTAAAAGTCAACCGAATATATCGTTCATTTTAATCCTATGAATCTATAATATCTTAAAGAAATCGGGTTTCGAATACAATTCCTTTCTCGCAACATTTACCTTCAAAATACTCGTGCTTATCGTTGTATGTATTGTGAAATGAACCGCTGCGATATCGGATATTTATATGGAGCAGATGGGGTGTGCGATAGACTTACCTCCACGTGGTACACTCTGGGCAACATATACTCATACGTCAAAAAAGTCTATTAACTGGCAGTTGACTTCTTACTTCTAACTACCATCCCCTCACTCTATGTCATGTTCGACCACTTTCACAGTACTCACCTCATCTTTTTTTACCTTTGTGTCTGTCTCTTTTACATCTTTGAAACACTCTTCTGTTCCCCCCCCTCTCGAATTTTTTTCTTTTTGATATTTCTTCTCCTCTGTGAGGCCTGAAGCCACCTAAAGGGCTAATGAAACTCTCAAAATGCCTGCCATTTGATATAAATAAATATTTTTCAGTAGCAACCAAAAGGAAAAAATCCCAAATATGACGTATACTCATACGTCAAAAAAGTCTATTAACTGGCAGTTGACTTCTTCTAACTATCATCACCTTAAGCGGCAGTTGACTTCTCACTTCAAACTACCATCACCCGCACTGGCAGTTGACTTCTCACTTCAAACTACCATCACCCCTCACTGGCAGTTGCTTTCTGACTTCAAACTACCATCACCCCACCGTAAACCGGCAGTTGACTTCTGACTTCAAACTACTATGGTCCGACTATAGTTGACTTCTGACTTCAAACTATCATCACCCCACTGCACTGGTCCATATTCGACTACTTCCACAGTACTCACCTCATCTTTTTCCCTACCTTCGTCTTTGAAATACTCTTCTGTCCCCCACCCTCTCGACTACTTTCACTTTGATGTTCCTACTCCCCTCTACGAAACCTGAAGTCAAATAAAGGGCTAATGATAACCTTCAAGACGCCTGCCATTTGATATAAAAATATAAAATATATTTCCACCCACTTTAGTTTGGTTCAAACTCTCTTCTTCATCATAGAACAAACTGCCACCAATCAAGATTGAAGATGGATTTGGGAATTTAAAAGATATTGAGTGTAATGCCTTATTGTGTTTGACAATTTATTCCAACTGGAAATCACTTTCCTTATTCATATTTCGCCGCTTCAAGTTTAAATTTCAAATTTTATTAGTTGTCTTCCAGAATACAGCATACCATTTTATCCGCCATATCCATTGCTTATTTTCCGGAAGGTCTTCTCATTTCCATTCTCATGGGGCACTATCAAAGGCCAGTAGAACAGGTTAGTATTAGGTCGCATAAGTTCAGCTTATTCCGAGTTTTACAGTTTTGACAATGAGGGAATACAACATTAGAAGGGCTTAATAGACAAATAAAGAGAGTATTTAAGAGGCTTACCTCGGATACTTATAATTAATGCCGGTATCTATATTTTTCTAAAGTTAGGAAAACAGAATTTGACACTTTTGTCGGCCAGATTCCGTCGAAAACAATTAGGTAAAAGGTGGCAGCCTTTTAATAGCAAAATTTGTGTTCAATTTAAATTTTGTATTTTTCACTGAAGTACAGTCACTTCTTGATTAACTGACGCTTATTTATATCAACTGGCAGGCTTTATGATTGTTATCATTAACGCTTTAGTTGACTGCGGTCTTCACAGAGGGGAGGAATATTTATTACAAATGGCAGGCGTTCTAATAGTTATCATTAGCCATTTAGCTGACTTCAGGCTTCACAGAGAGGAGGAGGAACATCAAAGTGACAAAAAGTCAAGAAAGGGGACAGAATAATGATTCACAAATGTGACAGAGACAGACAAAAGAGCAGAGAAAAGGTAGGATGAGTACTCCGAAATGGGCTGAATATGGCATACAGTGGGGGTAGTTTGAAGTCAGAAGTCAACTGCCGGTTAATAGACTTTATTGCCGTATGAGTATACGTTGCCCAGGGTGCACCACGTGAAGGTAAGTCTATCGCACACCCCGAGGGGAGGAATATCAAAGTCACAAAACGTGGATATTGGGGAATAAAAAAATGAACCAGAGACGTAAAAGAGACAGACAGTTAC